ATGAAGATATTGTAGAAAGTAGAAGAAGAAAAAAATAGTCTCCCCACCACCCCCGCACCTCCCCTCAAAAAAGAATAGCAGCCTGGCCAGCATGGCTCAGTGGTTAAGCATGGACCTATGAACCAGGTCACGGTTTGATTCCTGGTTGGGCACATGCCAGGGCAGCAGGCTCGATCCCCAATGTGGGGCATGCAGGAAGCAGCCAATCAATGATTCTCTCTCATCATTGATGTTTCTCTCTCTCTCTCTCTCTCTCCCTCCCTCTCCTTTCCTCTCTAAAATCAGCAAGAATATATATAATTTTAAAAAGAGGTGCCTCTCAATATGTAGATATTCATCTATGCAATGCACCCAGCATCAAGTGCATGTTTTGTACAGTGGTGAGGGCCTGAATAAACGCTGACAATCTAAAGCAGCACTGTTCAATATAGAATTTTCTGCATTGATGGGAATGTTCTATTTCTGTGCCGTCCAATACAGTAGCCACTAGTCACATGTGCCTCTTGAGCACATGAAATTGCCTAGGGTGACTGAGAAACTGAAATTTGAATCTTATGTAATTTAAATATCATATGTGATTACTGGGTGCTGACCGGACAACACTGACCTAAAGGGGAAAAAACTTTCTGTAGTTAACTACCTTTGTAAGTGAATGAACCCATCTAGGCAATACCACTTTTTGAGATGCCCACCTGGTTTCTGTTTACTATGAGTTGCTTATTTCTAAAACAACCTACTCAACATTTTCAATATTTGTTGAGACCACATAGAATAAATCTTTTAAAAATATTGTCAAGTTGTAAGACTGGGATGGAGACTTGACTTGGGGTGGTGTACAGATTATGTGTTGTAAAAGTGTGCACCTGAAAACAGTGTCACCCCCATCAGTTCTATAAAAGGAAACGAAAAAAAAAGATTGGATCTCTCTCTCTCTCTCTCTCTCTCTCTCTCTCTCTCTCTCTCTCTCTCACACACACACACACACACACACACACTAGCCAACTTTGGGAAAAATTAATCTCGAAATCTTATTTATAAATTACTCAAAAATCTTCTGGATGTCTGCAAATGGATTTGGGTTAATCTCTTTTAATAATCTCCCCCAAATCAGTTCACAATAGAATCAACTTCAGGGGATTATGCTTTCTCCCCTTTTAAAGGAAGAAATTACCCATTTTTAAAAAGTATTTTTATTAAACTGTTGTCAACTGGTTCTTAGGAATAAGAGATACAGGCATTAGCCCTGACCAGTTTGGCTCAGTGGATAGAGCATCGGCCTGCGAACTGAGGGGTCCCGGGTTCGATTCCGGTCAAGGGCATGTACCTTGGTTGTGGGCACATCCCCAGTAGGGGGTGTGCAGGAGGCAGCTGATCAATGTTTCTCTCTCATCGATGTTTCTAATTCTCTATCCCTCTCCCTTCCTCTCTGTAAAAAATCAATAAAATATATTTTTTAAAAAAAAGAGAGATACAGGCATTAAGATGACTATCTGTGTGAGCACACTATGCAATAAACAAATCATGTGTAATAGAATTGTAAACTTGAAACTTATGTAATGTTATTAACCAGTATCACCCCAATAAATTTAATTTAGAAAAAAAGAATTTAAATAGTCTGTATTCACTTGTGGTTTTAAAATCATAGATGGCATTACATTATAGTATTTGTATTTCTCTTATGAGTGAGGTTGAGCATCTTTTTATGTAATTAAGAGCTATTTGTATTTCTTTTTCAGTGGCTGTCAGTTGACAACCTTTGCCCATTTTTCTCTTGGGTGGATGGTTGTCTCTATCATTCATTAGTCTTTACACATTAGGGAAATGGGCCTTTTGCACATGTTGCTCTTTAAAAAGTTTACTCTGCACTAAAAGATGAAGTATAAAATTCAGAGCCTTCCAATGAAACAGGTATTAATAGTTTCCTCTAAAAATCTGTAGGAGTCTATAGTTCACAAATTAAATGAGTTTTTAGTTACTCTATGAAATGACTGCCTTCTGTGCTTTAAAGTGTTTCTTAGATTCTATGTCTATTCAAAAATAATTATCTAAAAAGATAAAAATATAATTCAAAATGTTATCTATGCAAACATGCTTATTTAAAACTAGAGACCTGGTGCATGAAATTCGTGCACTGGGGAGGGGGAGGAGGATCCCTCAGCCCGGCCTGCGTACTCTCGCAGTCCAGGACCCCTTGGTGGATGTCCGCCTGCCGGCTTAGGCCTGATCCCCGGCAGGCAGACATCCCTTTCACAGTCTAGGGCTCTCGCAGTCTGGGACCCCTCACTCTTTACTGCGGGAGAGGCTCCTGCCATGGCCGCTGCACTTGCCAGCTGTGAGCCCGGCTTCTGGCTAAGCGGCGCTCCCCCTGTGGGAGCACACTGACCACCAGGGGGCAGCTCCTGTGTTGAGCACCTGCCCCCTGGTGGTCAGTGCACATCATAGCAAATGGTCATTCTGGTAGTTCCACCGTAATGGTTGCTTAGGCTTTTATTATATAGATTCCAAGTATATATCATTGTGAGCACTTTGTCAATTATATGAATGTCTAATCACTATGTTGTACACCTGAAACTAATATAATATTGCATATCAACTGTAATTGAAAAATAATTTTAGAAATTTTAAACACAAATAAATGAATAATGATTACAAAGAAAAAATTTTTTTAAATAAAACTCCAAGTATAACTAAGACTTACTTTTTTAGTTCTGGAATCTCTGCTGGCTTTACAATTTTTATCAACCCTTTAAGTCTCTGTTGTTCTTTCCTCAGTTCAAAAGTTCTCAGATGAAGTTTCTTCCGGGACACACCATCTAATGCACTCCCTGATTTCATTTCCGACATAAATGCATCTAAAGAGTCCTGAGATGCTGACTCAGATAGAGCTGTCAGGAAAGGGATAATGCATGTTAGAAAGATGGTTGCAAATTTGTAAAATGCAGCCAAAGTCACTAACATAGAGTTGGACAAATGACATTATTGATATTAGGAATAAGGAAACAGGTTATAGCTGGGAGGCTGTGGGACATCACCTTGCCTCATTCCCTTCATCTATTAAATAGAGAATTTACACTAAATAATGTATAATGTCCTTCCTAGCTCCTTAGGCTCCATATTCTGTACATCTTATTAACCAACGTAGCCCAGTGCCTAGTATAGTGCACTACATATGGTCAATACTCAATAAGCATTTGAGTCATTGCCTTACCTTTGCTTGAGGCTTTCAGTCTCTCAGAAATGTCAGAGAGTTCCCTTTCAGCATCATTCAGCTTTGCAACCTGTGACGCCCAAAATAACAGGATTAGCAAATGTTTTTTTTTCTTTCAAAATATGGTAGCTTCCTCCTCTTATTTTCACTATTGTTATAAGTTTTAAGAAGATTAATTCGAAGTCTGGTTAAATCTGTTCCTTACAGAGTTAACATTTTTCATTTGTTTATTTAATTCTAATTGAATTAGTTCCTGAATTAAAGAACTCAGAATTAAACAGAATAAATGTATAGAACACAGACTTTATTTTAATCAAAAGAAAAAGCTCAAGCTATTTGTTTTCAATAATGAATCAAAAAGACAGATGCTGGTCATGTTTTAAACTCTGAATATCACTTAATATAGTGAAAACACCTGCTACCTTATGATAATTTCATGAAGGATACACTGCTTAAAACTATTAAACATCAACAACAACAAATAAAAGACTAATATCAAACAATACTCCTCAAAATTCCTTTCATGATTTTTGACTGCCAGAAACCTAAAGTCAGTTTCACCTCAGAATGTCCCAATGTGGAACTTTTTCCTTTTTATTTTTTTGTTTTGTGTGTGTGTGTGTGTGTGTGTGTGTGGGATAGAGGTGGAGTGTAACAACATATCCAAAGAATGTTCATTAACAGACCAATATTCATCTAGAGGTGGACAGAGACTCTAGCAGCAAGCCAAACTTTTTCCCAACTTGCATAAGACTAGTTGTTTGTTGCCATCAAATTTGCAGATCACAAACGTTATACTTCAGTACCAGATTTCAATGCTACTGCTTTTGTAATTATAAAAAAAAATTTAAATACATTATTTTATTTAAAATATTAACTACCACAGCTACTTCTATAAGTAAAACTTGCCAAGGATTCAAAGGTCTCTGGCTTCTCATCAATCTTCCCAGCCTTCTTCATTCGGTTCAGCCGTTTCTTCTCAACCAGGCCAGTCCGATCAAGAAATGTGTCATCATCACTGTCATAAAAGTCTTCATCTTCCCAGTTCTTTGCTTTCCTTTTCCGAGATACTAGAGGTAGATAAAATATATGGTAATAAAATAAGTTTTGAAAAAGAAAGAAGGCAAGTAGGTAAGCAGCTTAAAATATCACCACCTGCCCTAACTGGTTTGGTTCAGTGGATAGAGTGTCGGCCTGTGGACTGAAGGGTCCCAGGCTCGATTCCGGTCAAGGGGACATGCCCAGGTTGCGGGCTCGATCCCCAGTGGGGGGCATGCAAGAGGCAGCCGATCAATGATTCTCTCTCATCATTGATGTTTCTCTCTCTCTCTCTCCCCCTCCCTTCCTCTATGAAAGCAATAAAAATATATATATATTTTTTAAAGTACTTAATAAAAAAAATCACCATCAATTATTATAAGACAGGATTCAACAAGAAGGCAAACTATATATGAAAACAAAGGACTACACCTGGGAGACACTATGCTAAGTGAAATAAAGCCAGGCACAAGACACATATTACGTGATTCCACTTATAGCAGGTACCTATAATAGTCAAATTCATAGAGACAGGAAATAGAACAGTGATTACCAGAGGCCAAGAGGGAAGTTAGTGTTTAATGGATACAAAGATTGGATATGGGATGATGACAAAGTTCTGGAGATGGACAGTAGTGATGGTTGTACAGCAATGTGAATATATTTAATGCCACTGAACTTTACACTTAAAAATGCTTAAAATGGTCAATTTTATGTTATGTATATCTTACCACAATAAAAAATTAAAACAAAGGGCTAATTTATTTAATAAGCAAAAGGCTCTTAAAAATCAGTGAGTAAAAAAGGGAAGTGATAAATGAGGAAAAGGCCAATAATCCAAAAGAATATTTGAAAAAGAATAAAAGCAGTTCATGTTAAAAGAAATACAAATGATCAACAAACATTTAAAAAAATGTTAAACTTTTAAAAATTAATTTAATATAAATTAAATCAATGAAATACCACTTCTCACCTATTAGAGTAGAAAAAAACATTAAAAAGTAAATAACAATCTAATGAACAAAATAAACTGATGAACAAAATAGATACAGAGACATAGAAGCATGGAACAGACTGACTAATTTCAGAGGGAAGATGGGGGTGGGGTTGCGGGGGGGGGAGATTAACCAAGGAATTTATATGCATACTAGAGGCCTGATGCACAAAATTCATGCAAGAGTAGGCCTTCCTTCCCCTGGCTGCCAGCACCGGCTTCCCTCTGGCACCTGGGACCCGGGCTTCCCTCCAGCCACTGGCAGGCACCCGGGACCCAGGCTTCCCTCGCAGCCCCAGCTTCGTCCAGAAGGTCATCTGGAAGGACATCTGGTCTAACTAGCATATTATGCTTCTATTATTATAGACCAGAGGCCCAGTGCACGAATTTGTGCATGGGTGGGGTCCACCAGCCCACCCCGATGCGGGCCCATTGGGCCGGGCCAGCGGGGGAGAGGGGCCATGGGCAGTTGGACAGCCGGCCCCGCCCCAGATTGGGGTGCTGGGGGTCGATTGGGGGATGGGCAGGCCAGGGGGCGGAGGGGGCCAATCAGGGCTCAGATCAGGCTGATGGGCTGCCGCAGTGCGCATCATAGCCACCAGTGGTTCAGGTCATTCTGGTCGTTCCACCGTTCTGGTCTCTGGGCTTTTATATAGAGAGATATGCATAGCCAGGGACACAGACAATAGTGTGGTGAAGGCCTGGGAGAGGAGGGTAGAGGGTGGAAGGGGATCAATGGGGAAAAAAAACGAAGGGGACATCTATAATACTTTCAACAATAAAGATACATTTTTAAGAAAAGAACCTCTCCCCCAAAAAATTTTAAGGTGTTGTAAAATTTTATGGGGTGAAAAATGTTCACCATTACAGTAAATTAAAAAGGATTAAAGAAAAAGTATAATTATATTACACAGAAAAAGTTTGAAGAAACAGTTTTGTATGGAATACAGCAGGCCCATGTATAAAGTCATTTTGTTTTAATGTTGATGAAAAAAAAGGTTAATAACAAAACAAACAACAAAACAGGTTAATAAGCAATTTGGCAAGAGTATGAGGAGATGGACTTTCAAACAATATGCTGGGAATGTATACTGATATAAACTTTTTCATGTTCAATCTTACAACATCTGTCAACATTAAAAATATATTGATCCAGCCCTAGCTGGTTTGGCTCAGTAGACAGAGCGTTGGCCTTCGGACTGAAGAGTCCTGGGTTTGATTCCAGTCAAGGGCACATGCTCATGTTGCAGGCTTAATCCCCAGTAGGGGGCATGCAGGAGGCAGCCAATCAATAATTCTCTCTCATCATTGATGTTTCTCTCTCTCTCTCCCTCTCCCTCTCTGAAATCAATAAATATATTGATCCAACAATTCCACTTCTAGGAATTTATACTATAGAAATCAAGCATCATTATTTCTAACTGAAAATCTGGAAAGCCCATCAACAGGGGACTATGGTAACTATTAGTTTTTTGTCTACTCTATACCATCTTACTCCCCTTGTTATGTTAAAATTTAGAAGTACCCCCTTTCCTGTAGAAAACTCTTTCACCAAACTATTAACTAAGAGTAAAGCTAGAATAATTATATTTTCAGAATGAAGGGTTTAATAGTTTACTTGCCACATATCTTTTCTTTTTTCAGGAATCCACTAGGAGATGTCCACCAAAACAAGAGAGCAAACCAAGAAAAATGAAAAGATGTGAAATCCATTGAAGACTATCATCATCCATGCCCTCGACTGTTGTACCAGCTTTTTAACCTGCCGAAACCACAGAAGGATGTGTCCCACTAAAACAAAGGAGTAAGCCAAGAAATCTGAGCATATGAGAATCAAGAAACAGAAATTCCAACCCCAGAGAGAGAGGAAGGGAGAGATAGAGACAGAGAGAAACATTGATCAGTTGCCTCTCCTCTGCATCCCAACTGGGGATCAAACCCGCAAGCTTTTTGGTGCCCAGGATGATGCTCCAACCAACTGAGCCTCTTGGCCAGGTGCCAGTTTTTAAAGTGAGATAAGCAATGTAATGATGTGGACAATTTCCATGATACATTCTTATGTTAAAAAAATAAATCACAAAAGAGTATAAATAATTTAACTGCATTTGTGTACAAGTGTTTGTTTTTTGTTAAAGGATCCAGTTCAAAACACACAACTGTATGCAGAGAACATGTCTGAAAGAACATAAACAATGCCTACCTTAGGGTTTGAGATAGGGAATTTTTTCTTCTCACTATATTGAAGTCTGTACAATTTACATTTTCCCCCTAAAAAAGGTTTTATTATCTTTTATGTTAAAATTCCCTTCCCTCTTTCTTTTCTTTTCTTTTTTTTTAACCATTTGCATACCATAAGCACCTATAGAGGCAAGCAGCGGACTTTTTTAAATTAAATTTAAAATATCGTGGCAGTTAACTGGTTAAGAAAAAAGTGTTCCTACTCACCTGCCTCCTGCCGCAGCAATCCCAAAGTATCAAGGATTCGACAAGCTTCCAGTGAGCACTGGATCATTGCTTCTTTTTTCTTCCCTAAGTGAATGGCCTCAGCCACCAGCTGTTTTCCAGTTGAATCATCCACAGGTAATCTGCATTGGTTTAGAGGAAATTATAGCACAGCACTAAGCTCCAATCTTCACACAAAATAATTAATATTTTATGGTAATAGTCATGTTTTTTAAGATGGCTTTTCAAACTCTCGGTTCATTTTGTTCTATCTTGCCAAGGTTAGATTTCGAATCTTTTCTTTCCACCCCACCCCTCAATAATATAAGTGTTACTAAACTATCAAGACCCCAAATCAGGAATAGCCTAAAATTAAAACTAAAGTTACTCTTTGAATTGTTATCTATAATCATAAATTAAACCTGAAATTGTCCACTTTCCAGAAACGGACATTAATGAGAAGAGAACATACCTCACCCTGCAGAGCCAGGTGCTATGTCCCTGCTCATCAAATTCATATTCTAATTCTTCTCCTTTGGGAGAAAGAAAGACAAGACAATTTTAACAGGATCTGAAAATTACTAGTTGATACAAAGGGAAAAGAGAACAAAAGTTAAATAAGAATATCAAGTTCCCCTACTACACTGATGCCGGGAGCCGGTCCATCCTTGCTGTTTCAAGGGACCTGGCATATAAGGCGATACTGTTCTTAATATGTTTGCTTACCTTCTT